TGTAGACCTATCACTAAGGTGGCCAGAAGTAGTAGAATGAGAGGGCAAATCATCAACAAAAGGAACATATTGAAAAACATTGGCAAAGGTGCGGAATCAGGAGAAAGAGCAAAAGGAAATACATTTTCATGAAAAACTACATCTCTAAAAACAGAGATTTTCTTGGTGAGTAGGCCAAGGACCTTGTACCCTTTTGCGTCATAGGGGTAACCACAAAGGCATGGGGTGTTTCTCTTGATTCAAATTTGGTTCTGTGAGGTTTAGGAGTGGTAGGAAAACACAAACAACCAAAACTTTTAAGGTGAAAGTAAGTAGGCACTCTTTTGTACAAACATTCAAAAGGAGTTTTGTTTTTGAGATGAGTAGCATGCATTCTGTTGATGATGTAGGTGGCAGTTAATATGCATTCTCCCCAATACTTTAGGGTAGTTTGGATTGGAACAGGAGTGCTCTAGCAGTCTCAAGGATGTACTTATGTATTCTTTCTACTATCCCATTTTGTTGAGGTGTATATGGGCATATTTTCTGGTGAATAATTCCCCTGGAGTGATAGAAATGGGTTGACTCAGTACTGTGAACACGTAATTTTTGCCCGATATAAAAATTACTCCTAAAAATTCCAAAATAGCTTTAAATATTTTATAGAACTTTATAACTTCATTTCTAGAAAATACAAAAATAAAAAATGCTTTAATCTTTTTTATTTTTCTATACTCCTAGGTCCAACTAGTTAGATAAGTTGTTAGTTTACACTTTAATTAGCTAAATTGTTACACAAGTAAGTAAATAGGTTAATTTTACATATTAGGTTAGTTAATTAGTTGGCTAATTATCAAAATAAAGTAGAAAAGAGAAGTTGGGTTTATTGGTCTTTCAATAGAAGTGGGCCAAAATAATTTCAAAGGGCCCAATTATGCTCAAAATCTGTCCCAAACCCATCCCAAATGACCTAATCCCTTCCCCGTTAAAATGGGGGAACAGATACTTCTAAGGTGAGAGAACCTTAGGAGCCTAAGTGAAGAAAAAGGTATGCAGCAACCATCTTTTTTTGGTCGGAGAGAATCCAGAGCCTTCTCTTCTTCCTCACCACACACTCATCTTCTTCCACTCTCACTTCCACCATTAACGTCAAGCTCCTTCTTCAAAATCACCCAAACACTATATAAACAACCACCCAAAAGTCCAAAAAAATAGCTTAAGAAACCCAGCCATGAATACCAACTGAACCAACTCCAAACCAGCCCCCAAAAACACACCTACAACTCCATTTTCAACCACATAAAACCCCACCCAATGTCATATAACTCCCCAACGGAAATACTAAGAAATGCAGCCATGAAAGGCCACTGAACATCTCTCTCCTCGCTCCATTTCGATTAAAATTTTAGTGAGGGTCGACGAGTTTTTCGCTTCTAAGTTAAACTTAAGTCAAGTATGTCGTCTGAGGTCATGAAGTTCTAGTCAAGGTCTGTCAGTTTTCAATGTTGCTATAGACGATTCCCTTTTCTTGTAAACAACTTTTCCTTAAAACGTCTTAAGTGGAAAATTAATAAAGGATTGTTTAGCTAAGCTCCCTCCTTCATCTTTGTCTTTATTTGGCCATTTCAACCTCTTGATTTAGGCATTAGGTACATGCTTATGAACTTGCATTTATTACTTAAATGAGAAGTGTTGATTTCCTGATGAGATTTGATTTGTTATTCATGTTATGCTTTTGTTCTTTGATTAGTTGACTGCTAGATCTAGATGTTGTCCAGTCATGCTAATTTGTTAATAATTCGTTGATTTAAATGTACCTCTGTTAGTATTAATTTGTTAATTATTACTCACTTAATTAGTAAATCTAATATGATTCTATGTTCCCAACAACTGTAATTAACTTTAGTGAGTTCATAAGAAGCTGATTTCGTAGTTTTCCGAGGAGGACAAAAAATAAATAGTGAAACGTTGAAAGAAAGAAGCAAAGGAATGCTTAGTTGAAATTGTTTTGTTTAGGAATTTGTTGATAATCGAATCCCTATAATTTGTCCCAGATTTGGCAGGTTTAAAGTGATTGTTGTAGTTTAAAAAATAATAGTGATTGATATAGTTACTTCTATGATTTCAAAATGGGATTTTTTCATTCCTATACATTATTTGAAACTTTATTACCCTTAATGTCCATGTTTAGCTAATTACCTGGCATAAACAAGTTTTGTTTACAAAATATATACACTTCACCTTAAAAGACTCCCAAATCCATTGTTTGTGCCTTCAATCAAGGGATTTAGTTATACCCCTTTCGTTTTTTATTCTCTCCTTCTCTTTTCTTATTTTTTTTCATTACGTCCTCTTACCACCTCCATCCTCTTCTTCTGGATCTTGGTCCCCCTCTTTAATTAGTTCTCCAAAAGTATGGGGTGAAATAAGAAAAATGAAAAAAAAATTGGTTTAAATTACCCGTCGATTCTTTAAGAAAAAATTAACCATAACATGCTTGATGAATATATTCTGAAAAGCGAAGAAGAACTTGTGAAGTGCTTCATTAAAAAACTTTCTCTCTCTTAAAAAAATGCTCTCTAGCAACCCTAAACCGGCGATCACCAAGAGAACCGGCGCTGCCCTCCCATGGCCACTCCGGCCGGTGGTCGGCCACCCCCAATGGCGGCGCTGCCCCCCAACCTTCCCCCACCATCGCCTAGACATCTACGATTACAAACAACAATCCCCAACCCATGGATTATTCGAAACTTCTAAAACCTACCACCATTAATGCCCCCATGAAAACCCTAGCTACACTACCATTAAAATCTGTTGAGTTCCTGCATGGAACCAGTTGTGAAGTGGAAGAAGCAAGAAGTGAAACAATCCATCGTACAACAAGTGCTTCAACTTGCAGTTCTTGGGAAATTTTCGTATGGAAAGCCTGTTATTGGTGAATTACGTAAAGTGATTCCAATTCAATGTGAGATTAAGAGTCATTGCTCAGTAGGCTTGATTGAAGATAATCATGTGTTGATTAGATTGTCATTATTGGAGGATTATGTTCATCTTCTTTCAAAGCCAGCTTTTTACTTAAAGGCTCAATCAGATATGTGGCAAATGCCTTGTACAAAATGGAATCCATGGTGGACACCTGATGAAGAGACTCCAATTGCCATAGCTTGGATTAGCTTTCCAGAACTTCCTCCAAATTTCTTTGGTAAGGAATGTGTATTTTCATTAGCTCGTGCAGTTGGTAACCCATTACATGTAGACCTAGCAACTTAAAATGGGACTAGACCTAGTTGTGCTAAGGTGAAGGTGGTGTTAATTTATTAGGTAATTTCCCTAAACGTATTAAGATTGTTGAAGAAGCTGATGAATCTGGGCCAGAAGAGTTCAAATGGATTAGGATAAGGTATGATTATATGCCTAAGTATTGCAAGCCTTGCAAGAAACAAGGGCATAGTGAGGCAGAATGTTGGGTAATTCATCCTGAGTTACACAAGAGATTTGATGAAGATGTTGAGGATCAAGGCAAGGATAAGACAGTTGTGGTGAGTACTGAAGCAATTGGTACAGCTGCAAATTCAACAAAGGTTCTGTCAAGTGGAAAGGTGGTTGGTAAGCCTGCTACTAATCATGCCAAGCAGGAATGGATACAAGCAAGGAAGAACAAATACCAACTGGATAATAGGGGTCACATTATTGATAACAAACAAGGTAAGGAAGCTGACAAGGGTAAAGGGAAGGCCAAACTTGAGGAAGTAGCAACCAAGAACAAGTTTAATGCATTAGAGGTTGAGGAAGTTCATCAACCTATTCTACAAATTACTGAAGGCAAAGGTGAGGATCTTAGCAATGGTAAGAAGAAGGAACATGGGGAAAATCAATCAAAGAACAAAGTGCTGGAAGATCAGCATAATGGGAACTTAGCTAAGGCTAATCCTATTGTTCCTAGTGATCAAAGTACTGATGAAAAGGCTAATAAGGAATCCACAATCGACTGGGTTCATAGAAGGTTTGGAACTAGCAAAGAGGAGCTAAGGCAACTCAATGTGACTACAAACCAATCATCTCAAGATATGCCGTCTCAAACATTTGCAGATTCTGGGCAGCTTGAGAACCTTGATGAGATAAACTCACCAAAGGCTGGAGGGAGTGATGTAATTGAGGTGGAGGATGATCAAATAGGCACGACAAAGACAACAGGAGACAAAGTGAGGGACAACAGCCCACTTGGCGATAGGCTGGCGACGCCAGGCCTAAAGCCAGGCTCCCCAGGCGTTAGGCTGGCGACGCCACGCCTAAAGCCAGGTACCCCAGGTGTTAGTCTGGCGACGCCAGGCCTGGCGCTAGGGTCACCTGATGAAGCATCGATAGTAAACCCTATTCCTAGTGCAACTGGCAAGATTTTGGCCCATGTTGAAGATGTTCCGGTGTATGCATTAGAGAACAAACTCTATGATAACGTGAAGGTTAGGGATGATACAGTAGGACCAGAGAATTGCAATGAAAAGAATGATGAGCAGGCAATTGTTCCAAGAGCATGAAATAGAGGAAGTGCCTATGGAATATGGCACTAATCAAATTATGCAACTGCATCTTAATGTTCCACTGAAGACTCCACTACAACATCTACATGATTTAGTTACACACAATGTGACGCCAATTGATGAAAAATTAATGAGACAAAATCCTATAGAGGATGAGGGAGATAATGAATCAACAGAAGAAAACTTCAAATAGGTGGCTAGGGATGGGGATATATCACCTACAACTAGTGCTAAAGGAGGCAAGAAAACAAAGAAGAATCAGAATAAAGAGTCACAACAACCTCTAAGAATTATGCCCAGGAAGGCAGCTTCTCTATCTAAATGATGATCAAAATATTAATATGCAACATAAGGTCTGTGAATACACAGCAGGCCTTTCCTAGGGTGATCGGCATGAATAGGGAGCATAACTTTTGTGTAGTTGCATTGATGGAACCTTTTCAAAAGAAGAGATTCATTGATAGATATAGAATATGGTTGAATATGGAGACGGCTTATGCAAATATTAATGGGCAAATATGGTTGTTCTTTGATGCAGTGGCGGAATGGGAATTAGTGGAGGATACTGAGCAACAGGTGACTGTGAGAGTACTTCACCATGACCTAGGGCAGCACATGATGATGGCATTTGTTTATGCAAAATGTTCAGCAATTGAGAGGTTGGAATATTGGGATCACTTGTATTACTTAGCAAGTGATATGAATTTTCCATGGTTGGTAGGAGGGGATTTCAATGTGATATTACATGAAGATGAGAAAATAGGTGGACTACCGGTACACCCGCCTGAATATGAGGATTTTGCATTTTTTGTAAATTCTTGTGGTTTGTTTGAGCAAGGATACAAAGGAAGTCCATTTACATGGTGGAATGGGAGATGCGTGTATATTCAAAAGATTGGATAGGATCTTTGTGAATTTGCCATTTCAGAACATGTTGCCAACTATTGAAGTTGAACATCTAATCAGAACTGGATCAGATCATGCACCATTGTTAATGACATGTGGGGAGCAGACCACCAATTTTGTCAAGCCTTTTAGGGTCTTGAACTTTTGGACTAAACATGCTACATTTATGGATGTGGTGAGGCAGAATTGGGAAGCTGATTTCATAGGGGATCCGTTTTGGATGTTCAAGAAGAAGCTTAAGAGGGTGAAGGCAACACTACTGTCAAAATGGAGTAGGGAAACATTTGGTGATATCTTCAAGCAGTTGGCTATTTGGAGGACATTGTTAGGGTGAAAGAGATGTTGTTTGATGAAGAGCCTTCGATTGAGAACAGGATTGTGCTTCAAAAGGCCTATCTGAATTGAAGAAATACTTGAGTATTGAGGAGCAGTATTGGAAGCAAAAAGTTGGGATGACTTGGTTTGCTGAAGGAGATAGGAATACCAGTTTCTTTCACAATCATGTCAATGGCAAAAGAAAGAAATTGCAGCTGAAGAGGATCAAAAGTGGAAGTGGGGTATGGATTGAAGACCAGGAGCAGTTGGCTGCAGCTGCAGTGGACTTTATCAAGAACAGTTCACAAATGAAGGTGATGCATCTGACTTTTCCTTGCTCAATAATGTACCTTCGATGGTCACTATGGAACAGAATTTGGAACTTAGTAGATTGCCAATAATTGAAGAGGTAAGGACATCAGTTTTTGAGCTTACTGGGGAGAGTGCTAGTGGTCCAGATGGATTCACTGGCCTATTTTATCAAATATGCTGGGATGTTATTGGTGCTGATATACACAACATGGTGCTACACTTCTATGAAGGAGCTGCACAGCCTAAATCCATCACTCACACCAATCTAGTGTTGCTGCCTAAGAAGCCTAGAGTTGAGACCTTTTCTGACTTAAGACCTATTAGCTTGAGCAACTTCATTAACAAGGTCTTGTCTAGAGTATTACATGATAGATTGGAAAAATTTTTGCCTTCTCTAATATCTCCTAATCAATCCGGATTTGTGAAGGGTAGGAGTATATTTGAGAACATTTGACTCAAGAAATTGTCACTGATATAAGGTTAAGGGGAAAGCTAGCTAATGTGGTGATCAAGCTTGATATGGCTAAGGCCTATGATAGGATTTCATGGAAGTACTTATTGCATGTACTAAGGAAGATGGGATTTTCTTAGCACTTCATGAACATGGTGTGGAACTTGATGTCAAATAGCTGGTATTCAGTATTGGTGAATGGGCAGTCCTCAGGGTTCTTTAAGTCTACAAGTGGTGTGAAGCAAGGGGATCCTCTATCACCAGCATTGTTCATTCTGTCCGCTGAGGTACTTTCCAGGTCTTTGAATAAGCTATTTGAAGACAGGTCATTTGTGGGATTTGGAATGGCTAAGTGGTCTGATCCTTTAAACCACTTGGCATATGCTGATGATACTATAATCTTTGCTTCTACTCATCCTCCATCCTTGAGCAAGATTATGGCAGTGTTGGGGAACTATGAGAAGATATCAGGCCAGATGATCAACAAAGATAAGAGTTCATACTACATGTATTCAAGGATTCGTATTGGATTATGTCAGGCGGTTGGAGCTATTACAGGATTTGCAAAAGGTAAATTCCCCTTCACATATCTAGGGTGTCCTGTTTTCTACACTAGAAGGAGGAAGGAATATTATGAGGATCTTATCAAGAAAATAAAGGCTATATTGCATTCATGGAAAGGAAAGCTGCTGTCATTTGGTGGAAAGGCAACACTCATTACTAGTGTGTTGCAAAGTATGCCAGTCCACATGTTATCAGTCCTGCATCCACCAAAAAATGTCCTAGAGCATCTTCATAAGATTTTTGCTAGATTCTTTTGGAGCACAAAGGAAGAAGGGAGAAGCAGACATTGGGCCTCATGGCAAAATCTTTGCCTTCCTAAAGACGAAGGGGGCCTAGGTTTTAGGTCCTTACATGATGTGTCGAGGGCATTATTTGCTAAACTATGGTGGAGGTTTAGGACCACAAAATCTTTGTGGTCTAATTTCATATGGAATAAGTATTGCAAGAAGGAGATACCAATGGTGGTGTAGTGTAGAAGAGGGTCTAATGTTTGGAGAAAAATGTTGAATACTAGGGAAGAAGTAGAACATGAGATCCTATGGGAATTGAAGAGTGGAACAACTAATATTTGGCATGAAAATTGGACTGGATTGGTTGCACTTTATCATGTATTACCTGAAGACTTTCACAATCAATGAAGATCTTCAGGATGTGGCAGAATTACGGCAAGGTGAAACATGGGATGATCAGCTGCTAGATCAAACCTTCAATGAGGAAATTGCAGAACATATAAGGCTAAATGTACATTATGAAGGGTCAGTGAGGGATACTAGGATAGGCCATACTGGATGCCAACTCCTTCAGGCAAGTTCAGTGTTAGCAGTGCTTGGCAAATATTAAGGCATAGGGCTGATCCTAATCAGGAATTCAAGTTAATATGGATTAAAGGTTTACCATTCAAGATATCCTTCTTCTTGTGGAGATTGTGGAGGCGGAAAATAGCCACTGATGATATGGGGAGAGGCAAGGACAAATGGTGATGTCTAGGTGTTGGTATTGTCAGCAGCCCCAAGAGGAATCTATTGAGCATATATTTATCACAAGTCCTACTGCCTCTAAAGTATGGAACTTGTTCATGGGGGCTGTTGGAATTACTGTGCCATTGATTCAATTGAAGCAGGTTATAAGGCATTGGTGGTATGCTCAATGTTGTCCAAAGTTAAAGCCATTGTTTCAAGCAGTACCGGCTATCATCACTTGGGAACTTTGGAAGAGAAGAAATGCAGGTAAACATGGGGGTTCAGTGTCGAGAAATAGGGTGATTCATGAGATCAATAGGACATTGCATCAACTGGCAAGGGTGAGGTATGCTTGGATGCCTAATATTCCATTGTTATGGCTAGACATAATTCAATATTTTGAAGGATATAAACCTATATTGATCACTACAAGAGTAACATGGCAGCTTCCTTTTCATGGTTGGTACAAATGCAATACTGATGGAGCCCCAAAAGGAAATCATGGTCCTAGCTCATTAGGCTTTTGTGTGAGGAATGATGAAGGTGATGTGGTGTATGCAAGGGCAGTAGTACTGGGGGTGACAACTAATGTGGTGGCTGACGCTAAGGCTATTCTTCAAGGATTGGAATACTGTGTGGTGCATGATCTTCACCCTCTCATATTGGAGACTGATTCATTAGTGATGAAGAAAGTGATAGAAGGGGAATGTGATCCTCCTTGGGTAATTGCAAATGATGTGAGGAAAATTATAGAGATGAGGGGCAACTTCAATGTGATCTTTCAACATGTGTTCAGAGAGGCAACTCAGTGGCAGATTTTATAGCTAACATTGTGTTTTCTTTTGCAGGTACATATGAGTTTCACACATTTTCTGAACTGCCTAGTGCAGGAAGGCGGTTGATTAATTTAGACAAGTCTCAAACTCCTAAGATTATGGTTAGAATAGCAAAGAGAAGAGCCCCAGATTGATGGCTACACACGATTGGAATCTACACATACCTGCGTGTTTCTTTTATGTCTCAATCTGTATGCTATTAAGGTGCTTTCCAGTGGTATTAGCATGCTCACATGCTCATTCTAGGGGTTCTTTGATAGTGTACAGGACCAATGTGATAAGCAGGTACTGGATGGTGCAATTTATTCTACTTCTGATATGTTCAAATGTTAAGGTAAAGGTTGAATCTATTATGTGGAATTTCTCGAGATTGTTGAATCATTTCTCAGTGGTATTAGCATGTGTTCATGCTCAATCTGAGGATGATTTAGTAATGTTTAGAATGATTTCTACATTAAAGGTTCGGGAAGAGAAGGATCTGAGCTTACAAGATCATAAAATCACCCAGCTCCACAGGCCTAGCGGCGCCAGGCTAAAGCCTGATGGTACCCTGGAGTTACCCTATTGTTGCCAGCTTAAAGCCAGCCCTAGCCTGGCTTTTTCCCTGCAAAGCCAGCATAAAGCCAGCCCCAGCCTGGCCTTTGCCTTGCAAAGTCCGCTTAAAGCCAGCCCCAGCATGGCTTGCAGACTTGCAAAGCCTGCCTAAAGCCAGCCCCAGCCTGGCTTTTGCATTGCAAAGTCTGCAAGCCAGCCCCAGTCTGGCTTTTGCCTTGTAAAGCCTGCTTAAAGCCAGCCCCAACCTGGCTTTTGCCTTGCAAAGTCTGCCTAAAGCNTTTATACAATATGTCTTTTGTATATTTTGTATCTAATTTATACATAGTAAAAACAAATTTCATACAACTAATTATATATTATACAACTTATCTACAATTTTCATATATTATTTCTACTCAGTTATATACAACTACAATATCATACAACTTAAATATAATTTTTATACAATATTGTTCAACTTTCATACAATAGATAAATAAAAGAAAAATATATTAAAAACAAAATACAATTTTTCTATAATTTTTTTACAATTTTACTAACAATTTCGTAATATAATGTATATCACGTTTTCTTCTTCTTCTTCTTCTTCTTCTTCTTCTTCTTCTTCTTCGAGTTTCAATCTCAAATTCAACCAAAATCAAGTCTAATCTTCACCAAAAAACCCTCAAAATTGAGATATAAACTCCAAACCATATTCACAATTGTTTGCAACACACAATCCAAACAAATAATGGTTTTTGAAAATCCAAATTCGAATTCAAAGCTTCAAAGCTTTTTAATGGCTGTCAATTGTGGAGTTGCTGCTCTCTTTTTCTTTGCTTTACATTACTGAAATTAGGGATTGCGAGATAGAGAGAGACATATGGAGAATTCCCAATTCCTTGCAACAACACCAAATTCAAACAAATAATGTTTTTTGAAAACCCAAATTCGAATTCAAAGCTTCAAAGCTTTTTAATGGTTGTCAATGGTGGAATTGCTGCTCTCTTGTGCAAGATACGGGAGGGGGGGATGTGGAGAGAGAAATGTGGGGGGAGTGGAAGATACGTTAGAGTGATTTTAGGACACTAATTATTATCATTAATTCCCTTAGAATGTACATAAATAGTAATTGGGTATATAAAATATAATTATAGTAAAACTTGAGTAGGGAGGGTAATATAGTTTCATATAGTGTATAGGAATGTAAAAATTCCTGGTCTAGGTATGAATCATGTACTGATATTCCTTTCATAATCATTGAATTTAAGATTCATGTTAGTTGAATATGGGCTAATGGGATTATATGTTGTTGAATGTACTGGGTCTATTATTTGGTCTCGGCTTGAGCCTATGAATGAAATAAGGGTTCAGAGTGGATTTTGAAATTAGCTTTAGGCCATCCCAAAGCACGAGAGCCTACTGATGTCTTGCAGGCCCATTTCGTGTATAACAGTTGAGTCACACCTCTTCCACAAACAATTCGATATCCATAAATCATTGCCTCGCAATAATCTTAAATTAGTTTAGGAAAAATAATTTTTAATAATCGCTAGTATGCTTTAGGCGCGTATTAATAAATAAATTATCGTGATTATGTACATGTTTGCGTGACATAGTTATGATTTCCAAAATTAAAATCAAGGTACGCTTTCGCGCGACTTTGGTCGAACAATCTTAATAATTAATAAAGCGTGATTAATTGTGTACATGTACATGTGACATGATTTTAGCGCCCCAAATAAAGCGGATTTACACACATGTGATCCGTTTCAAAGATAAATCCATAAAACCCCATAATTAAAAGTGGTAAAAGGTAAATGTACATAGATTCTAAAACTAAGTAATTAAACAAATTAATTAAGTCGGTTATTATTAAAGCGATCGTGCTAAAACCACGGAATCCAGGAATGCCTAACACATTCTCCCGGATTAACAGAATTTCTTACCCGGTCTTCTATTTTTTGCGGACTTTAAAACTGAATCAAATTTCCTTGATTTGGGATTTTAAAATAAACCGGTGACTTTGGACACCATAATAATTATTTCAAGTGGCGACTCTACAATTAATTAAATAACCTCAATGTCACTTTAATTGAAAAAACTCCCT